TTCCAGGATCGGTGTGTCGTATCTCCTGAAAGGAGAGCGAGTGGAGTGTGTTCTCCAGGATCGGTGTGTCGTATCTCCTGGAAGGAGAGCGAGTGGAGTGTGTTCTCCAGGATCGGTGTGTCGTATCTCCTGGAAGGAGAGCGAGTGGAGTGTGTTCTCCAGGATCGGTGTGTCGTATCTCCTGGAAGGAGAGCGAGTGGAGTGTGTTCTCCAGGATCGGTGTGTCGTATCTCCTGGAAGGAGAGCGTGTGGAGTGTGCTCTCCAGGATCGGTGTGTCGTATCTCCTGGAAGGAGAGCGTGTGGAGTGTGTTCTCCAGGATCGGTGTGTCGTATCTCCTGGAAGGAGAGCGAGTGGAGTGTGTTTTCCAGGATCGGTGTGTCGTATCTCCTGGAAGGAGAGCGAGTGGAGTGTGTTCTCCAGGATCGGTGTCGTATCTCCTGGAAGGAGAGCGAGTGGAGTGTGTTCTCCAGGATCGGTGTGTCGTATCTCCTGAAAGGAGAGCGAGTGGAGTGTGTTCTCCAGGATCGGTGTGTCGTATCTCCTGAAAGGAGAGCGAGTGGAGTGTGTTTTCCAGGATCGGTGTGTCGTATCTCCTGAAAGGAGAGCGAGTGGAGTGTGTTTTCCAGGATCGGTGTGTCGTATCTCCTGAAAGGAAAGCGAGTGGAGTGTGTTCTCCAGGATCGGTGTGTCGTATCTCCTGGAAGGAGAGCGAGTGGAGTGTGTTCTCCAGGATCGGTGTGTCGTATCTCCTGGAAGGAGAGCGAGTGGAGTGTGTTCTCTAGGATCGGTGTCGTATCTCCTGGAAGGAGAGCGAGTGGAGTGTGTTCTCCAGGATCGGTGTGTCGTATCTCCTGGAAGGAGAGCGTGTGGTGTGTGTTTTCCAGGATCGGTGTGTCGTATCTCCTGGAAGGAGAGCGAGTGGAGTGTGTTCTCTAGGATCGGTGTGTCGTATCTCCTGGAAGGAGAGCGAGTGGAGTGTGTTCTCCAGGATCGGTGTGTCGTATCTCCTGGAAGGAGAGCGAGTGGAGTGTGTTCTCCAGGATCGGTGTCGTATCTCCTTGAAGGAGAGCGAGTGGAGTGTGTTCTACAGGATCGGTGTGTCGTATCTCCTGGAAGGAGAGCTAGTGGAGTGTGTTCTCCAGGATCGGTGTGTCGTATCTCCTGGAAGGAGAGCGAGTGGAGTGTGTTCTCTAGGATCGGTGTCGTATCTCCTGGAAGGAGAGCGATTGGAGTGTGTTCTCCAGGATCGGTGTGTCGTATCTCCTGGAAGGAGAGCGTGTGGAGTGTGTTCTCCAGGATCGGTGTGTCGTATCTCCTGGAAGGAGAGCGAGTGGAGTGTGTTCTCCAGGATCGGTGTGTCGTATCTCCTGGAAGGAGAGCGAGTGGAGTGTGTTCTCCAGGATCGGTGTGTCGTATCTCCTGGAAGGAGAGAGTGTGGAGTGTGTTCTCCAGGATCGGTGTGTCGTATCTCCTGGAAGGAGAGCGTGTGGAGTGTGTTCTCCAGGATCGGTGTGTCGTATCTCCTGGAAGGAGAGCGTGTGGAGTGTGTTCTCCAGGATCGGTGTGTCGTATCTCCTGGAAGGAGAGCGTGTGGAGTGTGTTCTCCAGGATCGGTGTGTCGTATCTCCTGGAAGGAGAGCGAGTGGAGTGTGTTCTCCAGGATCGGTGTGTCGTATCTCCTGGAAGGAGAGCGAGTGGAGTGTGGTCTCCAGGATCGGTGTGTCGTATCTCCTGAACGGAGAGCGAGTGGAGTGTGTTCTCCAGGATCGGTGTGTCGTATCTCCTGGAAGGAGAGCGAGTGGAGTGTGTTCTCCAGGATCGGTGTGTCGTATCTCCTGGAAGGAGAGCGAGTGGAGTGTGTTCTCCAGGATCGGTGTGTCGTATCTCCTGGAAGGAGAGCGAGTGGAGTGTGTTCTCCAGGATCGGTGTGTCGTATCTCCTGGAAGGAGAGCGAGTGGAGTGTGTTCTCCAGGATCGGTGTGTCGTATCTCCTGGAAGGAGAGCGAGTGGAGTGTGGTCTCCAGGATCGGTGTCGGCGCTCGCAGGCTGCTGAATGAATGAATGAATAAATTAGGCATTTATATAGCGCTTTCATATGTACTACTGTGCACCCAAAGCGCTTTACAGTCATATCAGGGCTTCTCTCCTCAACCAGCACCAGTGTGAGCATCCTGCTGCGTAGCGCTCGTGTCGGGGCGCCGCGAGGCTTCAGTGTGTCGGGTCGAGGGCGCTCAGGGCAAGACCGGGGAACAGGGACCGCTGTGTGAGCGTGTGTGAGCGTGTGTGAGTGTGTGTGAGCATGTTCACAGCTGACCTGTTGCCATGGTGACGAGAGAACACGCATGAGCATGTCATCACAAGACACGTGTCGACAGGGACGAGTTCTTATCAGTGTGTGTTCGGCTCGTCGTGCAGCTTCTGCAGCTGCTCTTTGTGTGTGAGTGAGTGTGTGTGTGTGTGTGTGTGTGTGTGTGTGTGTGTGTGTGTGTGTGTGTGTGTGTGTGTGTGTGTGTGTGTGTGTGTGTGTGCGTGTGTGTGTGTGTGTGCGTGTGTGCGTGTGTCTGTGTGTGAGCTCATCACAAGGCCGCAGTGAGTTTGTGTGTGTGTGTCTGTGTGTCCGTGTGTATGTGTGTGTGTGTGCGTGTGAGTGTGTGTGTCTGTGTGTATGAGTCTGGTTTCTCCCAAGGTTTTTTTCTCCATTCTGTCACCTGATGGAGTTTTGGTTCCTTGCCACTGTTGCCTTGGCTTTTGGCTTGCTTAGTTGGGGACATTTAACATTTAATATTCAATAATATTATTGATCTGCCTTACTTAAGGTGGACGTTGACGCAATTTCTTTTAGAAACAAACTTTGTTATATTGTTATATTGTTTTTGTTATATTGTTTTCATGTTATCACTGTGAAGCGCTTTGATACAATCTGTATTGTAAAAAGCGCTATATAAATAAAGGTGACTTGACTTGACTTGACTTGTGTGAGCTCATCACAAGGCCGCTGTGAGGGTTTGTGAGTGTGTGTGTGTGTGTGTGTGTGTGCGTGTGAGTGTGTGTGTGTGAGCTCTGGCTGTTGTCTGCTGATAACACTGAACACACACCTGTGGCACCAGCGCAGGACGGAGGGATTTGGCTTAAACTTTATCTCACAGCAGAAGAATGAAACTTCTCTAGCGAACTGTGTATCAAACAAACCAGCGGCTCTCGCTGACGGAGTGTGTGTGTGTGTGTGTGTGTGTGTTCATGATAATGCGCTGAAGGGAGTCTAATGCAGAGGAGCTCATGAAACACGACGTGATGAAGCTCCTGCGCTGACTCTGAGACACACGTTATATAAGTGTGTGTGTGTGTGTGTGTGTGTTTCTGAGCGCTCACAGATGTGACACTCTCGCAGTGACTGGAGACGGTGACCTTTGAACCCCCGCAGCGGACGCTCGACTGGTTTAGCGTTCTGAACACGTGTGTGTGTGTGTGTGTGTGTGAAGAGGCTGTCAGCACGGACACACACTGTTGTTCGGTCTGAAGCTTCATGTCATTGATCTAGGCGACGGACTCTTGACACACACTCACAGAACAACAGGTTCTGCTGGGAATCTGCTGTCACATAGAGAACTTCAGGAGTTCCATCATGGGATCACTTTATGGATTTAGATTTAATTCATTTAAATTTGAGTAATTAAACAGCTTGTAAACATACTATCAGTAGAAAAAACTGAAATAACCCATTAAACATGAAATATTATGCAATCATTCAAGACATTTCTCATTATATAGATCGTTCTTTAAAATCGAGTCCAGAACCCTAGAGTTCTCTATAGAACCACATTAAACTGTATTTTCTGAGAATTTACAGTAGAGTACAGTATTTTATACAGTACAGTATTTTACATTAATGTTGTTTGCATTGTAATATTTAGTCTTCAGGCTGACATGATGCTGAAAGACGGACCTTGTTTACCTAGATCACTAAATTTATTTTTATGACAGGATATATGTGTGTATGCTGCTGTTCCTCGCTCTGGCCAGCAGACGGCCTCAGCTCTGTGTGTGTGCAGTCTCCAGACCAGAGGAGAGTCTCAGAGCTTCAGTTCACCAGGACTGACGGCATCGCAGTGGTTTCATGTGGAGCTTTAAAGGAGTCGTTTTAATGCTGGAACCACTAATGCTGGTCTTGCTCGAGCTGTGATGCGACACACATTACATCATCAGGGTGAAAGGTCACGCGGTCACGTAACATATATGTTATATATCGTCCAACATCGTTGTTTTACTTTTTTTTTTTGTAAATGGCGTTTGACTCAGTCTTTGCACTTTCTCTTTGTAAACACTGGGTCGGTTCTTCCTCCTACGTCCCGCGTGACCTTTCACCCTGATGATGTAATGTGTGTCGCATCACAGCTCGAGCAAGACCAGCATTAGTGGTTAAAAGTATATAAATGTGTATTTTGTTATAAATGTCCGCTGGTTTGTCTAGATCAGACTCTTATTCCTCGGCTGGATCGTGTCGAGACTTTGAAGCTGCACTGAAACTCACATCTGGACCTTCGACCCGTTGGACCCCATTGAAGTCACTATATGGAGAAACCCTGGAGTGTGTTCCTCAAAAACCTTCTTTTCTTTTCCACTGAAGAAAGAAAGACATGAGCATCTTGGATGACGTGAGGGAGAGTAAATCATCAGGACATTTTAATTCTGAAGTGAACTACTCCTTTAAAGGGATAGTTCACCGAAAAATTAAAATTAGCCCATGATTTACTCTCCCTCACGTCATCCTAGGTGTGTATGACACTCTTCTTTCAGACGAGTTATAATAAACATGTCCTGGGTCTTCCAAGCTTTATAATGGCAGTGAATGAGCGTTTCTGCTTTGAAGTCCATAAAAGTGCATCTGTCCCTCATAATAGTGCATCTATCTATGAATATTGGGTGAAATATCCCTTTAAGATCCTCAGATGGTTCCTCACCTGCTCCTGTGTGTGTGTGTGTGTGTGTGTGTTCCCTCAGGAATGACGTGTCAGGCGCGCAGCTCGTACGTGTCGAGTGAGATAAAGTGGGGCTATCGCTTCACGCCGGTCCTGACGCTGGAGGACGGCTTCTACGAGGTGGACTACAACAGTTTCCACGAGATCTACGAGACCAGCACTCCCAGCTGCAGCGCGCGCGAGCTAGCGGAGATGACCGCGCGCTCCCGCCTGCCGCTCAGCTGGTCCGTCGCTAGCAAACTGAGCCAGCTCGACGAGCCCAGCGAGAGGAACGGGGACCTGGCCAACATGGAGAACGAGTCGAAAGTGTAGGAGCACACGGGCATCTCTCCTCGCCTCTGAGCGCAGGACGTTTGGCTGAGGTCAGAGGTCAGAGGTCAGGGGTCAGGGGTCAGAGGTCAGCTCAGGAACGCGCCCCGAGGACACGGATCTCGCGCGGGGCGACTGCATGGTTCCCAAAACCTCTTTTTCTTAAAGATATAAGAAATGATATTTTCAGATTTGTAATTCAAAGATTAAAAACCTATATATGTATATGAATATATATAGATATATTCTAGGGCATTTGTATTTTTTGTATATATCTGTTTTTGGTTTGAGATGTGCGGTTGTTTGATACGACAGACATATTTATCCACGCATGTTCGAAACGATCCCTGACTCTGATGTACAGAATATGAATATGAGGAACAGTAGGCTATAATAGCGGAGATCTCGCGCGCGAGTGTGTGTGTGTGTGTGAGAGAGTGTGTATGCTCCAATAACCTTCCGTCGTCAGGCCATGATCTCTCTCTCTCTTTGCTCTTCCTTTAACTCATAATCATAACTGGATTGAGCTCTCGGAGCCGATGCTGCAGATTCTCAGTTTCTGTGTTCGGGGAACAGAAGCGGTGACCGTGAGCTTGAGCTCGACACACACCAGCGCTCACTCACTCACACACACACGACACCAAAGAGCCGGACCGCTCCGTGCGACTGCTTTCGGCACAGACTCACACGACTTCAGACGCAAACCCACGAGTCAGAGACCGATGATCCACAGAGCCGACGCCAGAGAGATCTCAGAGAGATCTGTTTTTCATCTGCTTACACACACTTTACACACAAATCCAAGAATTGCACACAAAATGCACATTGCCTCGCGTCTCCTGCTAAATGAAGCACTGCATTCAGAATATCACACACATCTCAAAAGCACACATTTGTCTTACGTTGCAAACACCTTTGCCATAATATTATATCTCTGGATATATCATATACACACAGTAATTGAAAACCTGAAGCTCTTCTTTCAGGAGCTCAGATGTTCATTTCTGGACAAGAGTGAAAGTAATCGGCAGAGATGTTGAAGAATTCACGGTAAACACGAAAGCAAGATTGAAACCAAACTATCTATTTTTTACTGTAAGCGTTTGTGGGTGTGAATACAGTATTACAGTCCGAAACACCCAGAACTCGACCTTTGACCTTTTATAGGCCTATTCTAAAGCCATGATCAGTGTGTGTTCGGTAAAGAGTGTTTGCACACGTGAGGAGTGTGTGTGTGTGTGTGTGTGTGTGTGTGTGACACTCTGATGAATTACTGTGGTGTTTTGATAGGTTGTGTTTGAAAAAGGAAATCAAGAGACTTCCTGTTAGATTTGTGTGTGTTACAGAGAGAATTTTGTGTTTTATGAAATTGAAAACTGAGTCGAAGGCCGAGAATGAGTGTGTGGTTTTGCAGATCTGGTGTGTGTGTCTGCTGTTTGAGTGTCAGATTTCAGAACTTGTGTGACAAGTGAGGATTTTGTGTGTAAGCAGTTGAAAAAAAACGGTAAGATCTGCATATACCTGTCGGGTCAGGAAATGACATCAGCGAGCGGGAAAACATCGACTGTGACAGTCCAAACACACTGTCAATCAAACACACTGTCAATCAAACACACTACACTGTCAATCAAACACACTGTCAATCAAACACACTGTCAATCAAACACACTGTCATACAAACACACTGCCAATCAAACACACTGTCAATCAAACACACTGTCAATCCAAACACACTGTCAATCAAACACACTGTCAATCAAACACACTGTCAATCAAACACACTGTCAATCAAACACACTGTCAATCCAACACACTGTCAATCAAACACACTGTCAATCAAACACACTGTCAATCCAACACACTGTCAATCAAACACACTGTCAATCAAACACACTGTCAATCCAACACACTGTCAATCCAAACACACTGTTAATCAAACACACTGTCAATCAAACACACTGTCAATCAAACACACTGTCAATCCAAACACACTGTCAATCAAACACACTGTCAATCAAACACACTGTCAATCCAAACACACTGTCAATCCAACACACTGTCAATCCAACACACTGTCAATCCAAACACACTGTCAATCAAACACACTGTCAATCCAAACACACTGTCAATCCAACACACTGTCAATCCAAACACACTGTCAATCCAAACACACTGTCAATCAAACACACTGTCAATCAAACACACAGTCAATCAAAACACTGTCAATCAAACACACTGTCAATCCAAACACACTGTCAATCAAACACACTGTCAATCCAAACACACTGTCAATCAAACACACTGTCAATCAAACACACAGTCAACCAAACACACTGTCAATCAAACACACTGTCAATCAAACACACTGTCAATCAAACACACAGTCAACCAAACACACTGTCAATCAAACACACACTCAACCAAACACTCTGTCAATCAAACACACACTCAACCAAACACACTGTCAATCAAACACACACTCAACCAAACACACTGTCAATCAAACACACTGTCAACCAAACACACTGTCAATCAAACACACAGTCAACCAAACACACTGTCAATCAAACACACTGTCAATCAAACACACTGTCAATCAAACACACAGTCAACCAAACACACTGTCAATCAAACACACACTCAACCAAACACACAGTCAATCAAACACACAGTCAATCAAACACACTGTCAATCAAACACACTGTCGATCAAACACACTGTAAATCCAAACACACTGTCAATCAAACACACTGTCAATCAAACACACTGTCAATCAAACACACTGTCAATCAAACACACTGTCAATCAAACACACTGTCAATCAAACACACTGTCAATCCAAACACACTGTCAATCAAACACACTGTCAATCAAACACACTGTCAATCCAAACACACTGTCAATCAAACACACAGTCAACCAAACACACTGTCAATCAAACACACACTCAACCAAACACACAGTCAATCAAACACACAGTCAATCAAACACACTGTCAATCAAACACACTGTCGATCAAACACACTGTAAATCCAAACACACTGTCAATCAAACACACTGTCAATCAAACACACTGTCAATCAAACACACTGTCAATCAAACACACTGTCAATCAAACACACAGTCAACCAAACACACTGTCAATCAAACACACTGTCAATCAAACACACACTCAACCAAACACACTGTCAATCAAACACACACTCAATCAAACACACTGTCAATCCAACACACACTCAATCAAACACACTGTCAATCAAACACACACTCAACCAAACACACTGTCAATCAAACACACTGTCAATCAAACACACAGTCAACCAAACACACTGTCAATCAAACACACACTCAACCACACACACACTCAATCCAACACACACTCAATCAAACACACACTCAATCTAACACACTGCACGCGTTGAGAACGGCGATGTCTGGTTAACAGGTTTATCCTCTGGCGATCACATGATCAGTGTGTCGGGTTACAGTGTTTCTCAGTGTTTCTGGAACTCAGTCTCACGCGAGCGCTCCTCTGACACCATCAGCTTCTCTGAATCATAGTTAGGACATCAAATTATGACATACGGGGAAATTGAAAAAGGAATGAAATTGACATAAAATTTAACATTGAAATTGTTAATTATGACAAGTAAAAGAGTTTCCGGCCACCGCCAGCTTTTTAAATAATTTTCACACAAGTTTCACGGCCCCAGAATAGCCTATTGTGTGAATTATATCATATTTATGAAATAAAAAGTTGACATCGACACACCAAGCCATAATTATGACATTAAAAATCAAAATTGACATAAAAAGTAGAAATTGACAAAGTATTGAAATTGTCATGACAATCATAATTAACTCTTTCCTCACCAGCGTTTTTCAAAAGTTGCCAGTCAACGCCAGTATTTTGGATCATATTTCATGATATGATCTCAAAACTTTCACAGCGCCCTGAATATTGTGTAGAATATCTGAATATGCAATATATCAAAGAAAGAATAGATGCACTCTTTTTTATTAACACTTGAATGTGTGTAAATTTCATAAAAAATCATAATTTT